CTTTCCTCTCTCACACGCGCACAGTGGAGGTTTCCAGAGGCCACACAGTGCGGGACGCCCAGCAGACGGAACCCACCCAGACGCTGCTCTCTCGCCAGCTATGAGAGACCAGCAACCGCAGCAGACAAGCCTACACTTCTCACGGCATCTCGTTGTATTAGAACTGTTTTCATAAATATGTGCTACTTATGTTAAGAGATAATGAGCTTATTATTGTTATTTTTAAATGAGTTAGTAAATATTTTTTAAAATCTTTAGTTTTAATTTCTAATATGGTAAATATACAGAGATATAACCCGCATAAGCTAAAAGCTCTCTGGCGTCCTCCATAATTATTAAGGAACACTGTTCCGGGAGATGTAAAGTCAGCCAAGACAGATAAAAGTTTGCCCTCAAACAGGTCATCGTCTGCTGCACAAAACCCAGCAGAAATACGTACATGTGCTGGTGGAACAGGGCACCAGCCTCGGTGACAAGCGCTCAGAGGAAAAGGCACGTGGGAACACAAGCAGGCGCTCTGGCAGAGGAGGCGAGGGCAAGGCCTGGAGCCCCAGCCACCCCCGTGTACTGCGAGGCAGCTGGCACCTCCCTCCTCCAGGGCTGGGCCAGCGATCGAGAGCTGCACTCACTGGCCTGGTCAGCAGTCTCCCTTGTCCTTTACAACACCAGCACTTTGAAAGAGTCCAGTTCTTTCCATCATTAAGTAGCACATACCTCATCCTGCATTTGCTTGAGGTTTTCTCAGAATTCAAGTCAGATGCTGCATTCCTGGCTGAAGCAGCACCTGAGCATCGCATCCAGACCCACGGGACACCCACCTACCCTCCGGGAGACGCAGGTTTCTGACACCCGGGCCATGTGCCGTGCAGGGCTCCACTATTGGTACTATTTTTGGCTTGTGCCACTAGTAAGAGTGTGAGAGGAGACACTTCAGGACCTCACGAGTATCCCGATCTTCACCCAGCTCTCCCTCCATTTAACAGCCACTGGTCGTTCTGCCAGAGGTAAGGTTTACTGCAACAGTTGCCGAATTATTTTCCAGCTTGTGCAGTCCACTGACATTTACAGCTGACGCCTGACTTCCTTCCTCCCTTCCTGGTTCTCCTGAGAGGGAGAGGTACGGAAGGCCAAGACCTGGCGCCTTGGTGTGCTCACTGCTGCTGCTCCGTGTCTTTCTTCTTCTAGCACACGGAGCTGAGAAAGTATGCTGTGCAAACGCACACGTATGTATCCATGGATATGCACACCCCCCTACACATACAATACACATGTGCACACAGGCCGCGTAACAGATACAGGTCTCCATCCTAGAGCCCCGAGTCCACGCCAGGGCCCCCAGTGCTGTGCTCCACGTCTGCAGCGAGAACCCTGGCTCCCAGCACCAACACCTGCGCTCAGTGCTATCACAGATACCGAATCAGTTCCAACTGTTGTACCCAAACCACTACAGAAACGAAGCTACGAACAAGAGTTCAGAATTGGTTTTCTGTGCTTCCTACACAGCCTCGTCCCGGACCGAGGGTGCTGTGTCCATCACTGACCTCTGTCAGTTCTCTCCCCTCACCCTCTTTAGGGCGGCTACGTAGTTCTTGGAAATACAATCAGGTTTGTTTACTTACAATTCCTTTCAGTTTTAGGGTTTTTCCCTTCCTTCTATCCATTAAGTTTACGTTTTGAATGTGTAGAACGTACTTCTAAAAATCACAACTGTATAAAAAGATAAACTCAAAGAACTGTCACTCCCTCCTAAAGTCCTACTGCCCACCCCACCCCATGCACCTGCGGGTTGAACCAGCCCACTGCTTTCTGGCTTATCCTTCCCGCCTTTCCTTCTATAGAGATAGTAGGTTTATGCTTGCTTTATTTTCCTGTTTCTCACACAAAAGGCCGTGTACTATAAACGTTCCTTTACTCTTCACCTTTTCACTTAATGTCTCCTGGAAAAGCACCTCATTCCAGGTCACAAAGGTCTTCTCGCTACTCCTGGCAGCTGCGCGGTCCGCCACAGTGTGAATGTACCAGGTCTGTTCAACCAGCTTGAGAGGCTTGGATAACACGCACTTCCCAATATTCTGGAGGCACAGACAGTGCTGCGATGAGCGACCTCGTGTGCACGTGTTTCCTTATTGTTAGAGGTGGGCGTTCAGGGTAAACTCCTACACTGGCACTGCTGGGTCCAAATGGAAGTACAGACACAGATCTTACCAACTGCTCTTCCAGAGAGGCTGACCTGCTTTGCACTCCCACCAACAATGTGTATTTCTCTAATTGCGAAAAAGGCTGAATGAACATCACGTGTAAGGACTATTTTAACATTTCTTTTTGTGAATTGTCTGTATTTTCTGCTTATTTTCCTGTACTAGGAGTTGGCAAACTTTTTCTTAAAGGGCTAGAGAGTAAATATTTGGGGCCGTGGCACCGTCTCTGCCATCACGAAAGCAGCAGACGATGTGGGAGGGGCCAGCGTGGCAGCAACGGAAAGCACCCTGAATCAAGACAAACGGAAAAACCTCCCAATAAACACATTCTGGATTTAAAATAAAGAAACTGGAAGAAGAGCAAAGGAAAAGCCAAAGTAAAGGAGAAGGAAAGAAGTGACACACGTGAGTAGAAACACATGCAACAGAAAAAAAGGATAAACAACAGAGAAAAACAATTACACTAAAACTGGTTCTTTGAAAGATAAACACAATCCAGTGAACGCTCTAGCTAGAACGATTAAGATGAAGAGGGAGGAGACCCCAACTGCTGGTGTCAGGACCGGGCAGGACAGCAGCGCAGGTCCCACACCAACCCACAACGAGGGAACCGGCGGAGCGGAGGCGAGACGGACAAACTCCTCCAAAGACACAAAACTGACGTGAGCACAGAAGAGGAAGGAACACTGCTCAGTTCATTTGAGATGAGTATTATCTTGATACCAAAACCAGACAAAAATCCCAGACCAGTGTTTATCTCAAACATAGACACAAATCCTTAACAAAATACGAGTAAATCAAATCCACAATATGTAAGAGAGGTAATACACCATAACCAAGTGGGGTTTATCTTGAGAACATACCTTTGGCTTAATCTTCAAAAATCAGTCAATGAAATGTACTATATTAACAAACTATGAAAGAAAAACCATGTGATGAATTTAACACATTTTAAAAATCATTTAACAAAAATCACGATAAAAATTTTCAGAAAATTAGGGGAAAAAAAGGCAAGTCCCCGACGTGGTGAAGAGCATCAGTGAAGAGCCCACAGCTGACACCGCAATTCAAAATTGAACAGCGGATCTTTCCCCTAAAATGGGAAATGAGGCAAGTTGTGTCCACTCTTGACATTTCTAACTGACGTTACTACAAGTCCTAGACACTGCAATAAAGCCAGGAAACTGAATGTTCCTACAGGCAAACAATTTGGAAAGAAAAGTAACATGGTATTCATAGACAATATGATCATACACGTGGAAATCTTACAGAATCTACCAAAAAGACTACTAGAATTAATGTAAGGTCAATATACAAGAACCGACTATGTTTCTATAGATGAGCAATAAACAACTGGGAAAAAATTTAAATACCATTTGTACAATAATAGCATCAAAAAATATAACGTATTTTGAGATAATTTTTTTTAATGTACACATTTTTAAAATATTTATTTGGTTGCACCCGGTCTTGGTTGTGGCAGGCGGGCTCCTTAGCTGTGGCAGGAAGGCTCCTTTGTTGCGGCTCTCAGGCTCCTTTAGTTGTGGCACGGATCGAACCTGGGCTCCCCGCGTTGGGAGCGCAGAGTCTTAACCGCTGAGCCACCAGGGAAGTCCCTATTCTGAGATAATTTTAACAAAATATGTGCAATACCTGTACACTGAAAGCTACAAAACAGTGCTGAAAAATTTTTTTAAAGAGCTAAGTAAATGGAGAGATAGACCATATTTATCAATTGAAACATATGGTATTGTTAAGATGCCAATTCTCCCCAAAGTGATCTAGAGAGTCAGTGAAGTACCAGTCAAAACCCAGCAGGAATTCTGGTAGAAGTTAACAAACTGATTTAAAGCTATATATTAAGATACAAAGGAACTGGAATAGCTAAGGCAATTTTTTAAATGAAAAGAAGAGTTGAAGACAAACTACAGTACACAATTTCAAGATCTATTATATAACCACCCCCCCACATACATATATATATGATCATGACAGTGTGATACCAGTATAAGGACAAAGCAGTGGAACAGCATACAGAGCCCAGAAATAGGCTTCTCTCATATGCGGTCCACCGATCTTCACTAAAGATGCCAAAGAAACTGGATAGGAAAAGAAGGGTCTTTGTATTACATGATCCTAGAACAACTGGACACCCATATACAGCAAAGTGAACTTAGGTTCATACCTTGCACTGATATTAAACTTAACTCAAAATGAATCATACACCTAACCATAAAACATAAAACTAAAAAACTATAGGAGAAAACCTTTATGACCTCGGGTTAGGAAAATATATCTCAGATATGACACAAAAATAGGATCCATGAAAGAAAAAAATGGTAAACTGGACTTCATCAAAACTAAAAACTTCTGCTCTCTGAAAGGCACTATTAAGAGAATGAAAACACAAGCCATAGACTGGGAGAAAGTACAGTTTGTAAACCTGATAAAGAACTTGTATCTAGATTATATAAAGAACTCTCAAAACTTAGTAAGAAAACAAACAACACATTTTAAAAAGTAAGCAAAAGATTGGAGCAGTCTCTTCTAAAAAGATATATAGATGGCAAATAAGCACATGAAAAGACGCTAAACATCATCAGTCATTAGGGAGATGCAAATTAAAACTATAATGAGATGCCTCTACACACCTATTAGGATGGTTAAAATTAAAAAACTGACAATACCAATTCTCGGCAATGATGTGGAGGAACTGGGACTCTTTTTTTTTTTTTTTTTTTTTTTGGGG